TGAAACATTTGAAAATCTAAAAAACCTTACGTAACTTACGACGGAACTAATGAAGAATTAAATCTGTACGTGTCATGTGGAAAAAATCGAAGTTTGGAACCGAAATCGAACACAAGTTTATGCTGTGCGAAAGTAAACAAGTCGTTGTCGATGAAGCTGAGAGTAATCAGCGGGTTGAGTTTACCGCCACTCTCAAGCAGTTGGTTTCATAAGGATTCAAGCAAATCTGTGATCAGAATGTGTACTGTGCAGTAAGCTGAGCAAACAATACGACTAATTGTAAGACGGGCTTGTGTTCCCTTTTTCGTTGGCTCGGGTGGGGGCACCGTAAACAATCCAATGAGGGGCGTTCAGTAACCTGGCTAGTCCCGCCTACAACCTGTAGTATAAACACTGCCTCCTTCAATTGGAAGTCATTCCACTTAAGTGCACTTACTTAGAGGGTAAGCATTACCAGATGCAACGCACATGTTGTGGGCGGGTCACTTGACAACAACACGCGCTTCTCATTGGTGGATTTTTCTCACCCGCGGAATAGCTCCCGCCCACTTCCTCAGAGCCCAGAATCTACTATCCGTGGACACGTATCGATGTTGGCAATGACTGATTGACAAGTCTTTCATAAATAATGTCTCATACAAATAACATGAATAGAACTTCGAGCTGCCATGCTCTCACACACGAAAATGCGTAATGTTTGCTACCAGAAGTAAACAAAACTTCGAGATCGTTATCATACATACAAACAATAAATAGTGAGTATTAAAATTATTACTCATATGAGCATACATGTAATGCCAACTGGTGGCCATAAAATAATAACACATTAGAGAAATACAATTGCTTCAGAATTGGATCTGAAAACAACTTTCTACAGTCATATGTCAAGTACAATTGCGAATGGATTACGAGACGGCGGCAGCCTTATCTATAGTACTGGGCTTTTCTCAAACGGAAACAATCAGAGAGAAAAACCAGAGATCAAGGAAAAGATTGAAATCAGTCAAGAAAACGGTGTTTTCACGTCCACCACATTTTATTCAAGATCAGGTAATCCGACATATTCAAAAATTGGTCGAAATGACAACCCTCACTTCCCAGCAGATTGATTGTAAGGACTCAGTCCAATCGGGTAAGACGTGCTTTTAAAAAGAAAGTTTTAAGATTTGAGAGGAATGGGGCAGATCTCAGGCCTCTGACCAATCAGACACGAGTTTTTTGCCTCCTAGCTATGCGCTCATTGGCTAGCCTACATACTCCTCGATAATACCAATCACCTCCTCATCGACATACTCTACCCACATTATATTATTAAACACGCCTTTGGAGATTATACATAGATCATGCATCGACAACTCCTATAGACCTATCCATCCATCTTATGAGCGATTTTTTCAGTGCACTGCGATTAAACAAACCTATTGCAGTAGTAGCGAAAGCATGGGAGGTTCAGAAGGGGAACTGCTCAAAATAGCTCACGGTTACCACTTTTCCTGAGGTTCAACTTTGATCGCTTGCAGTTGCGAAGGCAGAAGTGTACTCTCACAAAACGGGTTTTGACCACGCCCTCTGAGCCACTTCCAATCAGCAAAACACATTATTCACCGGTTTTTTTAACAGAAGTTGGTCATAAAAAAACCAAAATTGTCCCTTAGCACCTATAAGCAATAATTCGTTCTCAAATACAGTTTTCGAATGTTTGTGATTGATATCTTTGAGGAGTGTTTTAAGGAAAATGAGCTCACTCTCAAAACTTCCAAAACCAACTTAGCCTAGGGAAATCTTAAGAGCATAAGCCAAATTCTTTGAATTCCTTTCTTCAGTACTGATTCCGAAAGCTCTCACTGGCAAGGAGCCACCTCAGTTTCTAGCCTATGAAATGGAATCTCGAGGTCGAAAAGGTTTCGTGCCACGCGGTTGACTTTGCTGTTACAACCGGAAGTCACAGCTGTTTTTCAGTGATGCTATGTTCTACTAGAAGAAAATATTGATTACTTTAAAACAGAACTGAAATTAGGAATAAAGATGAGAGCAAGACTGAGAATTATAGAACTGGACTAGATTTCCTGGGACGTCTCGGTGTCAGTGAATTCAGTTGCCGAATGATGCTCCTTTGATATGGCCGTCGAACGATACCGTGGTTTTTCACGTCCCAAAGAATGACGACGCTCGAATCTGAAAAATCTGTCTGATTCGTCGAATAATAAAATATTTACAGTTGGTGAAGCAGCTGAATGAAAGGACGCCTGATCGCCTCCCTCCCCTCCCAGTTTTTTTTTCTTCGATTCCAAGATCGAAAATTATTAAAGGTCAACTTCAAACTGTACGCTACGAGTTCTCCAAATTTATTACTGGGAATGCTAAAGCAATAAGAAAACGCAAAACCTCATTCCGAGGTGCGCCATGCACCAGACACCAATTCAGAATCGCAATGGACTTCGAGTGCGTATTTGTACTGTGCATGCTGACGTGGAATAAAGTTGGAAATCAGCTTTTGTCATTCTTGATGAGTCTGCTGGCCTGTTCGAAGCTCTAAGTGATGGAGAACTTAGTTTGTCTGAATGATCTTCCCTTTGGGATGAGATCTCGGGGGGAGTGGGGGGGTGTGCTTTCGTTCATGACTATATTTCACGACCC